TGTGGCCTTCCATCTCCCGCCTGGTACCCTTCCCATCAGGTAAATATCCCGATCGCCCGACTACTCCTTCAATATGCCTTCCGTACCTACTAGCCAGCCCCGCGACAAGACTTATAGCGCAACCCTGAGTAAAACTACGAATAACAATCCTTTTTACATCAACACTAGCTTCAATTTCCTCATCGATGAGAGAGCAGAGATCTTCCACGCATTTCAGGATCTCTCCTTCAACCGGGTCACCTTCGTCGGTATTGCCATCGTTTCTTGTCGGTTCGTTTTGAGATGACTTTCCCCCTGGAATGGGCGAGAAGGCATGTGTATACCACGCATTCGTCAACGCCTCATGGTTATACGGTGCATTTGGGGAGACCCAGGTTAGATCTTGTCGTTTGTTCGCGCTTGAAATTGGTGGCCCATATTTAATTTTCCTAACGTCAACACCGCCCCAATTTCCAGATTCTCAAAACGCCCACTAATCAACAACCCCTCGGCATCAGCCCCGAACCTGTGCAGGAATATGAAAGTGGTAGGCCGTCCCGTCGACTGACGGGAGGGTTGACCCCCCCAGTTTTGGTGGTGCTGGGTCAATGGCTTTGGGAATGGCTTCGGGGGTATTTTAGGGGCTGGGTTGAAGAAATGGACAGTGAATGGGAGGAGGAGATCCTGAGATTCAGCAGATTTGCTTGCTGAAGAGATCGCAATAAACATTCATTCGTAATTGTGAACGCCATATTCAAAGGTCTTGGTCTCATCGAGTATGTACAGATCCTCCACTTTGACACTTTTAGAAGCTCTCCTGTCAAGTCCCAAACCCCTTCTAATATCTGTTTGTTGTGCTCTGGGTTCCCTGAGACTCCACATCATGGTGTTGAACGTGGACTTGCGGGATGTTTGGGTTGAAAGGAGAAACGATATCTCGGTCAGATTCGCTCCCATTTGAGAAACTGCGCTCATTGCGATATGACTCGAATCTCGTGTCTCTCTGGTGATTGTAACATATTCTTCTCGATTGATCAACCGAAGTTGCTGGGTTGGGATGTCCTTCTTCGACGATAAGTTCCTTGTATTGTTGAGGATAGGAAGTGTCCATCGGTATTGCGGTGCTTGGTCTATTGACTGGTGCGTATCTTCCCAGGCGGGAGCGGAAGAAGATAATGGTGCCGTAAATCAGAGGAAGCCAGAAAGCGAGACTTTGGGGAGGTTAGTGAGTACTGAAAGGAACCGGAGAAGCCAATACGCACAGTAGAACTCCATCGACAAGAATGCCTCCAGCTGTGCTCGTTCTTCCTCGGCCTCCGCTCGAGGAAAGCGAGATGAGATCCAAGATGAAGAGGACTGTCCAAGTAACGGTCTTCAACCCGTTCATTATCAGGAAGACCATCGGCTTTAGCTTGTGACGGGCGAGGAGGATAATTTCGGTGATTGTCAGGATGAGGCATATGCAAGATATGGCGAGCCAGATAGGAAAGAAGCTGAATGTGCGTTAGCCTCAGGAAATCCAGAACGGAGAGAAGTCCTTACATTTGTATCGTGTTCCTGGCCCTATCGTCATCGAGGTCCTCAATGAGGTCTTCTACCCGATTCTCGTCCCAGGTCGATAGGACGCCGATAGATAGAGATAAAAGGCCAATCATTATTAAAAGGAAGCCCATCTGGACAATCCAGACCGGGACCAAGATCAATTTCCGCCATGGGGCGTGCTTGTGTCCAGGCGACATAATGATAATACCGAGAACAGGTCAAGACTTGAAATGAACAAATATATGTGATCACAAAAGGAGTATTAAGCTTATTTGCAGCAATGCGGATCTTCACACATCCACCGTGATGGGAAACGAGAAGACTTATATATCCCCGCATCAGACAGACCATGCACAGCCAGCGCCTCGATGTTGTACAGAAATACACACACAGCCTTGTCTCCCCTATCCCCATCACTCGACGATCATAGAAGGCCGACGCATCAACGAACAAAACAAGGCCGTAAAATGAGAAGATTCTGTCGAGTGCTTGGGATTCTGCAAGTGCCCAGGACGCCATACATACATAGCCTTCTCAGCCGTGTCAAGATGCACGGGAAATATGGTCCTGTCTTGAATGCTGGGAGCCACAACACGGTCTGTGGCGTGGTCCCGACGAATCCTGGGTTTGACGTGAAGCCATTCGTTTAAATCGTCAAGTCAAGGACCAATGTTGTGGGACACCGCCCCAAAAAGGAATATAAGAGTGGGCCTAACATGGAACGGCTGAAGCCAAGCAGGTGGGTATTGTCGCTACGTAGCATTGTCTTTCAGCATTACTGTACCGAGTACTGTACTTAGGAAATTGGAATTCGGGGGATGATCTGGTACGATTACCCGACGGTAGCGAGAAATAAATACACCTTTCTTACGCGAGGTGTAATTTCTACCAATGAGAAGCCTCCTATGTGGTCTTTAAAAGGCAATCAGTTTCCGTGCTTCCACCGGGGGAGAGGGTAGGGTTCGCCTCATCATCATAAAAGGGGAGAATTTTAATTCCCTTCCAAAATCATCGGGACACTTGTGACTTCTCAGAGCTCATTCCAACTTTCTACCCTCTTCAGAATGAGGCAAGCCAACAATTCCCCCAATAAGCCCAATGTTACCGGTCCACCCCACCGACGGACTGGAATTGTGAAAAGAGCAGAGGACATTCGGAGGGATTGCCGGCGGCTCATATTCCAATGACCAAGAATTGTGTTGTTGGTCAAATACGTTTTGCAGAGGCCTGTTGGTATTGCTGTTGTGAGTAAGAGGCCCAGCGGGATGCTAGCTTCAGTGACAATGAAGTGGGAAATTGATAGGGGTAAGGTATCCCGTACGTTACACATTGATACCTATTGCCGTCAAAGTCCAGTGAGGCCACTCGAATGTTGTGGCAGGTCTTAGGAACTCGATCCTTACCCAATTGTTTGGGAGATGGAAGCAGGACCCCTTTAATAAACGTCAAGAGTAAAGGAGTTAGAAGATTAATAGAATATGTGGAGAAAGGCTGAAGTTGTGGAGTGCCTTACTCGTTAGCCTCTTCGCTAAAGGCGATGGGGTGAATACTAATCAGGTCGGCAGTAAAGCACGACCACAGGAGTATGATAGGTACTAAGCTCAGTACCAATATCAGAATAAAATCTTGGAGGGGTAAAGTAATATAGCGCGATCGAATTCTTGATGTGAGGGTCGCTCTCGGACAGGCGGAGAAGTCTCCAAACTGTATGTAGGCCATAGCGTGACACAATTGGTCAGAAGCCGCTTGCTCCCAATCTAAGCGAAAACCATCTTTCCTACCACCGAACCACCGTCACTCCTCTCACGAATGCCTTCATGACAATTAGGGAAGCACCGCATCCCTTGGTAATCCTCTTTCATTCAAGAAGAGGTGTATTTTGACAATCTTGAGGATGCATGGGCCTCATTACATGGCGCGTGCCCAGTGCACCAGGCCTGTATCCAGCCGCTCTGCTCCGTCTTACAGACAGCCATTAACGCGCTACCAGCTCCTTCAGATCACGTTCGAAACTCTCCCCCCGATCTACGATCCAAGTCAACACACGGCGACCATGTCCAGTTTTAGCAGAACAGCACGGCGAGTGGTGTTTGGAGCGCCGGTCTCGAGGTACTTCCCAAACCTCCGGACTGTCATGACACTTCCCTCCCCCTAGCTTGAGGGTAAGACTTGTGTGGTCACCGGTGCAGCCCGTGGACTAAGAAATGAAATCTTGACCGCGTCCTCTCTCAGTGGCACGGAAGGAGCCTGTGTTGACTTATCCCTCCAAGCCGGCAACGACTCGATTGACCATATCACAAAGCACATCTCCTCGCCTACTAGCACCTCCGAACCCTACAAACCCGAGCTTCGAGCATACGCTTGTGAGTTTACCAAAGTATCACAAGTCTAAGGCACCGAGAAGAACATTGTCGAGGATTTGGCAAGGTTGGTGTGTGGGTTACGGCAGCAAGTTCCGTGAATAACGTCGAGGCGGAGAACTATGCGTACGAGCGGTGGAAGAAGCTGTTGGATATATACCTTGATGCCAGCCTTTTATTTACTAGAGAGGCAGGAAATTATTGGATAGGCAGTGATATAAGGGGAGTCTATTTTAGTGTCGAGTATGAGTGGGAGAATATGTGTCCGCCCTCGGAACCAGTCTACATATAATGTGTCCAAAGCTGCCGTCAGTGTGCCTAGCGCTCTCTTGCGACAGAATATTGCGGACGGCTAGGAAACACATATGTGCCCTGTATGCGAATGTCCTGTTGAGCCGAGGAGAATAGGCATCATTCTCCTTTCCTCCTTAGGATATTTCGACTCATTCCCCTGGGTGTATATGGATAGCTGAGCGATTGTCCTTAAATATCTGGGAGAGATAAGGAGTGCAATCTCCATCTGCTATATCTATCGTCGGAATACTATTTGAATTTCCTATTTCTCTGCAAGCCACTGTTCTGACGAGATACCTGAACAGTGGGGGGTTTGAAAGGCATCGCGTCAACCGCCTTTACCCTAGATACATGAAGACCGACTTGATCTTGATCATTGATCTACTAAAGAATGAGGGTGAGAATATGGAAGAGGAATGAATTAAAGTTACGCGAAGAATGGAGGAGGTGACTAAGTCTCTCACACTCTCCACGACAATAAAGCTTATTGACTTGCTAATTTATTGTCGCTTGAGTCCATTGTTGAGAGATTTGCAGGACAAGCCCGTCACTTCTCTGGAGGAATCATGAAAAATTTATATCATTCTTAGATTTCCATAACTCTCCACAATTCTTCGGGACAATCAGACTATTACAGTACCCTGAAAACCCCTTCTCCGGCATTTACAGCACTCGGGGAGGGATAATAGAGCGCAAGAGGCTAAATAGATCGTCGGCTTGGTAAATTCGGTTCGAAAAGTAATCGGTGGAATCTCGGCATCGGAGTTCGGTGATTTTCGACATGCTACATATATTAATTAAATGATGTGCATGTTAAACCAATCAGCTCAACTGGCGCAATGGTAGCGCGCAAGACTTCTATCGATTCCTGGGACTACAACCCATCGAATGAGATCTTGAGGCTGTGGGTTCGAGTCCCACGTTGAGTGTTTTGCTCACTTGCATATTTCTTCTTTTTGGGCAAGTTATTTTTGTAGATTCTTTGGAGTCATATTCAGATTTTCAAGACAACACCTCAAATGTCATCTCCGAGCCTCCTTAAATACCTGCCTGCCGTAGCGAATTACCCTTTTGACCTTTCTATTGTCCCCGCAGTCTTGTGGGTGCATTTGCTTGAAGTTGGCACACGGGTCGAGTAGTCCGTGTTTGTGATTGTGGGTGTTCGAGCCAAGAAAAAAAAAGGAAAAAGCAGCTGAAAACTATTTGTCCTCTTTGAGGTCTAGATCTAAGACCTTTTCACTAGGTTTCATGCACGTAGGGCGATTTCTATGGTGTCTGAGCTTCCTATTCGTTATTTGGAGACTTCGATGTGCAGCCATCTTCGGGGACCTCTCTCTCCATCGAGAAACCAACTAGTCGAGGCAATAGAGGCGCAAGAGAAATGAAACAGAGTTGAGGATTGACCCTTATTTGTGAAAGATCGCTATTGGTTCACGGCTTCCTTGCATGCTCTCCTATCACACGACTAATGGAATGGTTCTCGATACCTATATATTTCACCCTTTGTGAAGTCGGAATAGAGTCTTCGGTGTCCTGCTACTCTGTTCTGTAAGCTGGCCTTTGAGTACACGCAACCAAACGGTTTGATTTGCCGGTTGCAGTTCTAGATATTCAAAACCACCCGTCTCGAAGCCTTACTTTTGAGACGACCCATTCCAGCATTCGTGTCTCGTCCCGATACAGTCGCCTTCCTCCTCAACTACTGTAAATGTTTTCTTGAAACCTCAAGGGGCAAGCGTTAATCCATGCGGCAGTAGGACATTCCGACTCAACAATGTCCACTCTCACCAATGTCATCGGCCAACTACAAGTCTGTTGCTACGTCTTGGGAACTTCCTGACTGTATACAGACAATGGGGTTCCACGTGCTCAGCCCTGGCCCCAGTTTCTACGGCATCGGAGATCCATGGAACAAGTTGCCAATGTACTCAGCCAAAACCTGCTAAGGCTTGACGTCGACTCCTTTCACAACCAGCATCTCGAATGGATTGAGTGTCAGGCACAGCCTGCTGAACTAAGAGCACTCTGTGACGAAGTGGCGATGGCTATGAAACATGTTCTCACAAGAGCACAAGACCTTTATCAATGGGTCCGCAGCTCGCAGGAAGAGGCCGTGAGCATGGACGTGGGAGGATTTTTGGCACGAGTGACGATCGAACGAGTCATCGTGGGATTTCAAAAGTTCCAAGTTGTCGCCGACAACGACCGTTTCTTGCCTGAGCCAAACAAGACCGTGGTGCTTACATATCTCAAGGCAGTGCTCACACTCTCGGTCACCCTGGGGGGGATCTTCGACTCCCCGTGGTACGAGTTCTGCAAAGAGCAGATGGAGGAATTAGACAGCTTTGTCTTCGATATCCTCGAAGACTATATAATACCGCCTCAGAATCGAGCTCGAGAAGCGGTAATTGTGCATCAGTCCCGCGTGCCGGAGAGCTACCTGGGGAACTTCCCCACACGACCTGTCCATGTTCACAATGATTCCGGCTACGGTCCTGCCATTGTTCGAAATGAACTAGATTGATCTGTAAGAAATCGACTTCTGCGGTATGAAGGCATGATCGAGGCAACCGCCAACGAATTTGAAATAGCCGAACCCCTGTCATCGTGAAGATTTCCATCGTTTAAAACAAACATCATCCCAGGAATAGAAACCGGTTTCCGTCACCCATAATGTTCCCTAGCCCGTAGGAACGGTCCGGAGGGAAGACAACATTCAAGAATCGCTAGGAGACATCTCCTGTTTGACCACGGAAGGCGTCTAGAGCTGATGGCGCTCATCCATGGTGCGAAGAAGTCCTTTTGTAGGCCCCTGCGTGCGTGGAGGCAAGAGAGAAGCAGCAACATGTGAATTACGGTTGTAAGATCACAGTTCCAGGGCTGCAATTGTCATGAATAGCCAGGGTAATACAAGAGGATTTTCCGAGGGTGCTGTGGGGTTTTGCTGCTGTTATCAACTACGATCCCAAGACATTCTTGGAGCAAGTATGGATCTTTTGCGATCATGTTGCATTCAGAACCAAAAACGGTTATTCTGGGACTGACATGCATCTTCCTAAATCCCATTCCTTAATGTCTCCAAGTCGGCAGCTCTAGGACGCCCCCTCTTCACACAAAGATCTGTTCTAATTACCCATTTCTCACCCTCTGTCACTTCCCTCCCTTCATGCTGCTTGGCCATTAGAAAGATCTCGTCTCCATCACAAGGTGAAACATACCAACATGCACTCGTTGCCATGCTTATGCAATAGCATCATACCAGTCTCAAGGTCAACCACGATTTCTTTCTCCAGAACCGAATTCTTGCCTGGGAGGTCGTCTGGATAGAAGACGGTCTGGCCACCTTCACAGCCGGTGGCGGGGGAGGTCAGGTACAATAAGAGCGTCCATGTGGTTTTGGCGGGCGTTGAGATTGGTTTTGTGTTGATGTTTAGAACGTTGGATTCATCATCTTTGCAGAGCGGAATGAGCTAATAACCTGCAACTCCTGGATGCGTGATGACTTACAATGGCAGTCGAAATATTGGCCCTTTGAATACCTGTATATCCGAATCGACGGATTTAATCCAATCGGCTCTCCGCCCCTGATGAAATCAGTGCTGTTCCCATATTAATATCTGACGATGCTTATTATTACTTACCATAACTCATGTTTCTCTTCCGGAGTCATACTCGTACGCTCACCCTCGGCCTCTTCAGTCCCCCCGCCACATAGCATCTCCCTCAAACCCGTCTCAACCCATAGGCGGTTCGCAAACCTCTCATCATGCACCTGAAAGCGATCATTCACACGCAAAGCCTCCCCCTTCTTTGGTTTTCCAGGTGTCGTCGTCAACGGCAAGGTCTTCAAGAACGCCACATAGTTCTTGCATAGAGTTCCGGTCCAGAAGTTCCGAGCTACGATGATCTGTGAGTCTACGAGCGTCTCTAGATGAACATCGGAAGCCGGGAGGAGCGGCTTGAAGGCTGGCCAGTTCGGTGGGGGATTCGGAGGCGAGGCTGGAGTGTTGCCTTTTGAGTTGGAATGCTGCTTTTTAGGGGGCATTTTGGGAGAGATGTTTTGAGAGTGATGAACGGGGGGGAGGGGGTTTGGATTTATTTGAGAATGACAGGGAGAATTCGATATTTTATGGCGTTCTGTTGATGTTCTCAAGCTGCATTGTTGATGTTCTCAAGTTGCATCCTGTGTGCATTGTGGTGTGGTCGTAGACAGGAACGTAGGCTGAATTCTGATTGGATGACATATCATTTAAATGGGTCATTAGTGGGCTATTTTCCCCCTTACCGACTTTTGTCTCTGGATCTTAATCACAACTCCATCATAACAACCAGGAAACACGAAACGAAGAATTCATCATACCATGTGAAGAACTCCACAAAGGAGGCAAATGAGATCTACCATAGTACGCATATCATTTCATTTCTACATTGCCTGCAACAATAACGTTATTCGTGGTGGACCGCCCAGTCCATTGAGGGCCGTCAACTTCTGTCAAGTGGTGCTAAGGTAGGGTTTGCTAACGAGAAAAGAAGGCATGGAGTCAGTGAAGCATAAGTGTGGTTGAGTCAACAAGCATTCTACTTTCATGATATGAGGATATTCCCATCGTTCTCGCAAAACTGGGCCTCGCTGTGCATTCCTGGTGTGGCCTTGATGTCTCTTTGAATGGAATCTTCATGCCAACCTCTCCGAAGCTCGCCACCCATAAAGTTCAAAAGCGCATGATGATCCAAAGATAATCCTTCTTCTCAATTGTGCGAGTCTACCGTCTCTCCTTTCATTTCGCTTTCTTTGACAATTACACGCTCTTTTTTTCCAATTATACACTCTTTTACCGCCAATCTTATCGTGCTTTCTTTCACTCAATTACCACTCCCACTTCTCGCGTCAACGCTTTGCGTCTGGTTTACTCAAGTTTCGTCATCTAGCAATGCCCATGGCACTGACACCGCCCCCACGCAGGAACGATTTCAGACCTTTCAAGTGTGTAATGCCCCTGGCAATAACGAGACTGACTTGGCGTCGTGTGTCTCGGCTTTCGATAGCGGTCCCTCAACCTCTTCTTGCTCTACCATTCTCACCGGAATTTTCACTCGTGTTACAATCAGCGATTGTTCTCAAAGCGTCCCATTCTCCACCAAAGCTACTTATTCCTTAGCAAAACCCACTTCTTTCGCTTCTGTCAAACCAGCTTCAGCCCTTCGACTTCGCCAGGTGCCGGACACCCCTTTGGCTAAAGGAAACTACGTTCAGCAAATAATTTCTTACTATATCTCTCCATGGCAATCGATCGTCGAGAATGACCCGAGAAATATCACGGTACTAACATACAAGTCCGACGAAGGCGGAAAGCAGACTTGCGAGACAACTAGTGAAGTTTGGGTGCTACACACCACCTACGTCCCGGTGACAGTGGCAAGCACGATTTCTCTTTCAACCTCTTTCGCACAAGTATATTACCTCATTCCTGTAGCAACGATGATAGCTAAGATGTTTAGCCTGCAATACTCGTGATCGATCCCGCTCTCACCATCACACTTCCTGCTGGCAAATGTCGTCTTTTAACAGAATTGCCATATGCAAACTCGATCGGCAGGGAAGAATATGCTATCCAGAACGAGCTCTCCGAGACGGACACAACAATCACAACGACAATCACACGTAGAAGCACTACAACCACCACCACGACGACGACTGTACCAAGGCGTCAAAGCACTTCCACCGTCACTGGAACAGTGCCTCTGGCTAACGATGAGGAAGATGCTGGAACATAGTGAGTATCCTCCCTTCTAATTATGAGCAGGGACAGGATTGACAATTACGTAGTACCACGACTGGAAGTACGGTTCTCACAGAATCTTCGTTGATCCAGCTCACTCGAACGCTGGCCTTATGAAATTGAAGATTCCTGGTATTTGTGAAACATTA